ATGATGATGATGATGTATGTTCGGGGCTGCATTACAATATTGATTGTTCGGATCATTGGTATCTAAGTCTTCCGCTGTGCTATCTTATACTTTGTATTGAAAGGTCGGTTCTTGTTCTGGTCTGCACCTATACGGTATGCAACACAAGCAGAACGAAGCAAGGTAGCAGCATTGGATCATCCTGGTTTGATCTTGGAATTCCGGGTTATGATGAGCGTCCACCTTGCAGGCCACCAGGCTGCTGAAGTCTATACTTACTGCATGCAACGTTGGCGCTGCTCCAGGCTGATGAAGTCTGTACATACTGCATGCAACGTTGACTGCTTGGGAGCAGCACCAGCAAAGGACAGCACTGGATCACAAAGCATTTAAAATAGGAGAGCAATTGGCACTATTGGCTTTGGACTTCCGTTCGCTTAGAGAGAATCGGGGTGGAGGATAAGGGTTGGGTAGAGTCATACCTACTGTCTTCGTGCGAATAGAACGCCCGGTCATTATAGCTGTATCTTGTGCAGCTTTAACTCCAAATACAGCTATAATGACCGGGCGTTCTATTCGGGTGAAGACGGTAGGTTTGTAAGGTCCAGCATCAGGGTTTCTTGCTACAAGTGAGCAAGCCATTGCCTTTGGAACGCAGAGACCATATGAAAATCTAGAAGCGCGTAAACTAAATAAAAAAAGATCTACACAATGGAATGATTTTGAATATCAATTTATTAGTAAAAAATCATCACCTACTTTTAAAATCCCTAAACAAGAGCATTATGTTAGATTGGAAGCATCTTGTTGGACAACGATTGTTGCAGAGTAGGAGAGTTCAGGAGGTTGGGAGTTGGTGACAAGAAGAGGAATTTTTCCATGACATGCTGTGAATCTCTGCTACAGGATCACCTCCTCGATCTTCGTCTCCACACAATTCGTAGAGTCTTCTTTCAAAAACAAGTTGGCTCAGTGCAAGCAACTACGACATGGATAATGCAATCATTCATAAGTGGATAATGCAATCATAAGTATGGATAATAATGCAACCATAAATGGTGGATAACACAATCACAAGTGTGGATAACCCAATCATAAGGTGGATAATGCAGAGTGCAATCATATAAGTGGATAGTGCACAGTGCAATCATAAGTGGACAATGCAGAGTGCAATCATAAGTGGATAATAATAATGGAGAGTGCAATCATAAGTGGATAATAATGCAGGATGCAATCATAAGTGGATAATAATGCAGAGTGCAATCATAAGTGGCCAATGTAATCACAAGCGTGGGCGATGGAATGATAAGCGGATAATGCAATCATAAGTGGATAATAATGCAGTCATAAGAGGATAGAATGCAATCACAAGTAGAGGATAATGCAATCATAAGTGGATAATGCAGTCATAAGAGGATAGAACGGAATCACAAGTAGAAGATATTTGGAGCATAAGTCGGCATCGATAGTGTGACTACCATATGGATAACGCAATCACAAGCGTGGGCATGATTCGGGGCAGTCCACGAAGGAATGGTGTATTTGTGAAGGTCTACCGTACAAGCAAGCATGAGGCATGACATAGAGGTCTACTTCAGGGGGTCTAATCGAGTCCGGACTGCCTCCGGGAAGTCATTATGCCACAGAGGCGTCTTAGATCATAGGGAAGGACGGCTCTAAGGATTGGTTCTCCGTAGTATAACTAATAGGCCGAGTTTCAAGACAATAGCACCGTAGACAACACAAGAAAGTGGGAGCGCTTTTTGGTATGTTTCTTATCAGAGGGGGCTAGATGGGGGGGGCTAAGGGGGACTGACTGAAAGGGTGTATGCACTGTATGGACGTCACTAACAGTTAGTCCTTCCATCGGAAGTAATCAATGCTGTCAGGGTTCCGCAGGCCGTAACCCGAGGAGGCGTGGAGTATAAGAAGCAATGTTATGATGTTTTGCACGGGACGCTGAGCCCTTTTCCTAGGACATGATGCTTCCCACCAAAAGAAAGGAGCTTGACTTTTTTTTTTTTTTTTTTGGTGGGGGGGGGGGGGGGGGGGGGAGGAGGACAAATCAGAATCAGAAGAATCAGAAGAATCAGGAGGAGGAGGGGGAGGAGGAGGTCACATATCAAACCTGTCAGCAATGTTCTGCTTATAAGCATCCCAGACTGGATAAGCACAAGAAGCCCTTCTTTGGATGTGACTGAAGGTACACACACATGCAGTATGTCTCCCAGGCGCTTTGCAAATAACCCATCGACTGCCACCTGCACCAACATTCAGAAAAACAAAACCAAGAGAAGACAAGAAACGTGCAACAAAGTGAGTGACGAAAGTGCAAGGGACTACCATGCTCAGAAGTCGGGAACCTGGTCACAAATGCTAACCCAGTCAGCATAGACAAGACAGAGAACTCCCTCACCACCGCCGATTAGGGCGGGGGGCCAACACACATCCCCTTGATTGTGAATGGTAGCCATGCTTGCAGCGTTCCCTGTATATGCTTAGAAGTAGTGTTAGGTATGTAGTGAGAGCTGAAACTGGGAGAAAAAGAACATAGCTTAGCGTTGAAAAAAAAAAAAAAAAAAAAAAACGAAGAAGAAGAAGACAGAGAACCAGTGGGATCTAGCACTAGGTCGCCAAATGCAACAACGTCGAAAAAACTCAGACCACCTCTCCAAGTGCCCGCACCTGGTTGTCAAACTGATCAGGTTCATGCTAGCTCAGCACAGACATAGATTTAGTGGGATCTGGCCCTAAGTCAACAAATCTGCAATAGGTTCGAAAAGAAAAGTAGGCAACCCCTTCAGGCTCCTGCAATCCATCTGAACTCTGGTTAGGTTCCTGCAATTCATCTTAACTACTCTAGTTAGGTTAGAATGCAATCCATCTAAACTCCAGTTAAATTTTTCCGATCCATCTAAAGATTCTAAACTCGGTTAATTTTCTCCGATCCATCTAAACTCTGGTTAGGTTCCCGCAATCCATCTGAATGCACTCAGACTCTAAGTCGGTTACACAACCGAATACCATCTCCTTTAGACCATCATCGTCCTGCTCGGAAGTCCCTTTCTTCAGGAGTAGGCTCCATTTTCCTGCTCTGGTTAAACAAAGAAAGGTCTATCACAGTCAAAAAATACACTCCAGACACGCTGCTGGCACTAGAGGCACAGCATGGCCGCTTAGTGACGACCCGAACCACAGATGCTCAAACTGAACGGAGAAAACAGTAGCATGGTGCTATCGAAGTCGTGGTACATATCGTCAAACAGAACTGCCCGGTAAACCGTCGGCAGATAGGGAGAAGAGGATGTGTATATATTCATCATAAATACATATATACCACGACGATAAATATGTATATAGGGTTCAGCCTCCTGATGAGTCGGTGAAACTCCGACGAAACAGTTTGTCACAGCCCCTCGTTTGTTGTCCTCTTCTGACTCTCTGCCTACGGTTTACCGGGCAGCTCTGTTTGACGATATATGCAATGACTTGCTGATTTTGGTGACCTGTAGCCCGTTGAGTCGAGGCTGTACTATAAGTAGGTCAGATTCGTAAATTTGTTTGGCTGAGGGCTAACAGAGAGACCCACCTGTAAGGAAAATTCGAGCGGGACATGTCTGCAAATTCGGGAAAGATATAGGCCCGTACTAACTAGAATTTCCTACAGCTACCCTAACTGCGAATAGCAGGCAGGGCTATCCCTAGGACAGACAGGCCCTATGGGTCTAAGCAGACGATCCTATAGCCTATAGCCGGGTAGGTAGAGGCCGAGAGGCCTAAACTGAAACGGTACCGGTCGGTTCAGTCAGTCCAGTCTAGGTCGTGTCTAGGCTAGCATAGGTTATAGATAGGAGGAGGACATCGGTTCAGGGCTTTTGGCAGTCGGTACCGCGTACATCGCTGCTGTGCAACGCATGAGCTGGGAGTGGTAGAAGCTTCAGCGTTGGTGAAGATGGGCATAGCCGGACCTTTGGAGCGCCGGACATAGCTGGGACCTGCGCTGTACTCTGACAGCACGTGGGGCTGTGCAGAGGTTCGGGCTATTCGAGGTCTGCTGGAGGCAGGAGAAGTTGGTGCCCTGCTGAACCCTCCTCAGGCGTAGGGTTACAGGGTGTGTGGCGCTGCAGCCATAGCTGCAGCTCTTCCTCAGAGATCATCTTGTCAGGAGAGGTGGCACTACTGTAGACTTCCACCTGGGAAGTCATCCGGCACTTCATCATCATCAGACACTCTGGCGCTGGTCTTCTTCTTCTTCCTCTGAGAAGCGCTTGGCCTCAGAGGCCTGTTTCAGGGTGGCTCTGGGTGGCGCTGGTTGTTTCAGGGGCTCAGGGGTGATATAGTGGTTACTCAGGGTGTGGGGAGTGAAGCGCTGCTCATTTCTGAGCAGCACACCATAGCTCTGGGGTTATTCTGGCAATTTGAGACTCCGAGTTTAATAAACATTGTTGACGATACTGGGTTTGGACTATAATTGCTTCATTGTTTCCTGGATGTGATCTACTCAGCTTTTCTTTATGACTGGTTGATATGATTGTGTGGAGTGAATTGCACTTTCAGTGTACCCTGTCATATCGCATAGTCAAGTCTTCCGCTGTGTTTATCTTTCCCTGTGCGGTGTGATACTCCTATCCTCTCCCCTTCCTTCTGTGCATGTATGGGCATACCTGGAAGTCTATGTGAGTGAGTGTTGGTCTTCAGACAACAGACAACCAGAATCGTAACATATATGCCTACGGTTTGCCGGGCAGCTCTGTTTGACGACATATATATTGTCACACTGTGAATCGGCGCGCAAAGGCGGAAAAAGACAAAACAAGAAAAGGAAAAGAAGGAAGGAGAGCCCCACCTGTTCATCACCTCTTAAGTACAAGGCCAGCCACATGGATGACAGGTTGAGCGCTGGCTGCCCCCACCCCCGTATGTCACAAGGACCCACTTGCACGCAGCCAAAAGGCAAATAGGTAAATAAAAGGAGGAGGAAACCAAACCTGACAGGGAAAGAAAGCCTATCAGTCAAACAAAGCAAATGACACATCCCACAGATAATCCAATCGCCACAAAGCAAATAACACATCCCACAGATCAACATATTTTTTCTTTTTTCTTATTTTCTTATTTTCTTTTTTTCTCTTTTTCTTTAACTCCGTATCTGTCGGTAGTGTCGAAGGCTTTATCTGCCCCCACCTCGGCAGATAGGGCAGCTACGGTGAGGATGATGTGGATGTTCACAAGGATACCCAAGGAGAGCTGCGCTAGCGCATCATTCAGCAGGACGGCTAGCACCAACCATCCCATCAAAACAGTCCTGACAGAGGACATGTTGTCCACATGTCAAAAAAACAGCAGGACGTTCATCACAGAGCAGCATCACGTATACAAACACGAGTCCGCTTGCCCCCCTGTGACGGTCTTCTCCAGTCAGGTTGATTGGCAGTGGCCAGGGCCATCGCTACCTGGTCATGGTACGCCTCTAATGCCAAGGGTGTGTCTAGAGTGTACCTTCTAGCGGTTGCAGACCTTTCTCTGTTTCGTGGACAGTCTGGCTTATGATCGGGTGTGCGCCTACAGTCTGCAGCGTCTCATGTCTGGGGTGGAAGGGTGGGTGGGTGGTAAAGTGCCTTGGTTTTCATTTCGGGTACCCTCCCGCATGGCAGTTGGTGCCCACCTCAGGGTATCCCTTGTCGGGCAATGCCCAGACGTAACACAACAGGGGCCAATGTGGATTACCATGCCTGTCTCAGCACACATTGAAACTGTGGACCAAATTTCTTCACCCTGCTTCATTGGTTAGGAAACTCTGCAGACAGTCTAGTTTGTCAAATGCTCAAGCAGCTGCTACTTTAGCTTCACATAAATTGTGTTTGTCCACCAAGTTTGTTCAACGTGGTCGTAATTAGCTCAGAGTCAAGGGTTCAGCCTCCTGATCGAAGGCTCTGTGAAAGTCTGAAGAAACAGTCTCTCACAGGCCACCGTTGGTGCCCAGCTCAGGGTATCATTTGTAGGGAAGTGCCCAACCGCAATGCAAAAAGGGTTAAGGTGGGGATTAGTATCACTTTAAAGTATCATTGGTTAGGGGACTCTGCAGACAGCCTCCTGATTGATGACTCTGTCTCAGCCGCCCGTTTCTTGTCCTTTTCGTCCTTTTCTCCCTTCAAACCACCACTCCATCCAGACCTGTTTTGACAAACCGAAAGCTCCATTTCCCCAACCATAAGATCTAATCGTGGTACAGAGCCTGCGCACTGTAGATTTTGCCCCTGTACTTGTAGACAAGAAAAATGAACAGTGTCCTTCGGGACATCCGTTAAAATTGGAACGATACAGAGAAGATTAGCAAAAAATAAATAAATAAATAAATAAATAAAAATGAACAGTGCAGTGGCCGTTGGAGTGGTGTTTTCAACCACCACCGGACCCGGACCTATTTTCATAAACCAAAAGTTGATTTCCCCAAACCTAAAATCCACAGTGCCGCGACCCTTATCTACTCTATCTGACAGGGCTGTGGATTCGCAAAGCTGGAATAGGCATTGCTGTGCTTTCCGTAGAAGGAAAGTGAAGAGGTCTGCCGGGATAACTCCGGGTGGAATTGTGAGGTCCCCGGCCTCTTTTATAATTGGTGTGCAATATAATGTGTAATATTTTGATTAAAAAAAAAATCCGCAGTGCCACCGGGAGAAATAGGTATTACCCAAGTTGGACACGGGGCGCAGACGCAAGTTCGCAGCCAGTGTTATAAACCCCTGAGTCAATTTTTTGTCCTTTGGTCATACCGGTCGTTCGGGTCCAAATGGTAGTTGGAAGGGTGGTGAATTTGCCGGCGGGCAGGGATTCATGGGATACCGGTCGTTCAGGTCCAAATGGTAGTTGGAAGGGTGGTGAATTTGGGGGGGGGG